TTGGCACTCATGCATATTTTTTTATCCTTCAGTTTAACACTGATAAGAATATGCAAAAATAACATAGCTACTGCTCTAGGAAGTGCTTTCTCCTGGGAGATAAGGCTGAGCTATCTAAAATAGCTTGTTCATCAAATCTCACTTCCGGACGCAAGAAGTTCCCCGACGGAGACCCCGAGAGCCTGTAAATATCCTCTTGGGATCTCCCCCTTCTGACGCGACTGTAGCTCCACTGAACCCGTGTTCCTCCCACTGCAGTGAGTCCACCGCACCTGGTCTCGCTTGGCCGGTGGGTTATCCCCGACCCTGAGAAGGGGCCCCCAGTACTCTTCCCTGGCAGCCTCGGAAGAACCTGGGTCTCTAATGAGTTGACAAAGTGAAGAACGTCACCACTTTGGGGGAAACTGAATACCTTGTTGCTAATTCTTTCCTTCCCTGATGTTCGGATAGTGAGGTTCCCCAGTTCAAGAGGATTGAATTTTATCCAGCCTGGATTCTGGTTGCTCCAGATGAAAAGAGGCTCAGACTAGAGTCCAGTTTTGTCACCATGTTAAGGGGGAAGGCCCCATTGGTGCAACCAGGAATTCTAGGATTTCTCCTCTTTTCCATTCACATTTTCCTGCATCTTTCTCCTCTTTTCCCGAGCCTGATCTTCCTGCTCCCATTCTTTTTTCTACAGAGGAAGCACCCTGGTTTTTGAAGTTGAAGTGAGGGTTAAATTATTTTTTGTAAACTCTCATAAATAATGAAATAAATTTTATAACAGTATAGGCTTGCATTTGCATTTCATCCTAAGTATTTTAGAAGGTGAGAAAGAAAGCATTTTACCTTTTACATTCTGGGAGAGAGTAGAAACTAAATGAAAGGGTTCTGAATTAGAAAGTTTTTCAGACATATGACTGTCAGATAATTGATCTTTTAAAAAATGTGTTTGTCCCCCTGTACCTCCACCCAAAAGAAAATTAAAAAGTGAGCAGATCCTTAGTATATCTTAATTAACAAGATTGGATTGAAATGACTAATACAAGTGACAGTAATGTCAGTAAAATTTACAAGTTGAGTTCATATTAGTTAACGGGGAAAAAAATCTACATGGGCATGTGTGACAAAGATTGTCAGAAATCTCTGTACAAGTAGAAGTGAGAAGCAGCAGCACATGGCTCTGAGAGCCTGCTGGATCCTGACTGTGAAGGCGGCATGTTCAGCAGAGCTGATGTCCTTCTGGCGTCTCAGTGATTCTCTTTTCCTTTTCACTATTGCCTGTTTTTTTTCTCCCAGATAATTTGCAACAGATGATTTCTTTGTATAGCTTTCTTTTAATGCTGGGATAAATGTGGATGCAGCCCACATTATTTTCAATGGTAGAGTTTAAATAATCTTCCCTGGGTAGTTTTTACATGTTAAAAATAAGTGTGTCCACGAGTGCAGTGGTGGGAGAAAGCGTGTTTGTGGAGCTGTTGTGTACTCGCTACGGCCCTGTGCTTGGTCCAGAGTTTTAAAAACTGCAAGAAAACGGGTACATTTAAAACTCATGCTGGAAATACAGATACGGCCTGTAACATTTTCTTTTTAACCGGACCCATGTAAATGACACATTTCATTCTTGAGTTTTCAATTTAAAAAAAATAATTTGTGTTTTGTTGGTGAAAAAGTTATTGGATTTTTGGATACCATTTTGTTAGTTCATTTTCAACATGTAAAAGTCTTGGGGGTTTGCAAACAGTGTGCGAAGGGAATCTTAGGGCCTCTAAATACATTTTGTGCAAAACTCTGCACAGCTTGAAGCCTCACTCCACTGGGCTCAGAGTCCTAGTGTTTTCTCTTGTTTTACTCATAACTAAGCGATCAAGTTCTTATAAAGAGATTTAAAGGTCATTCAGAAAAGTAGATTCAAATTTCCTAGTAAGAATGAGTTACTGTATACTAACTAGTAAAAGAACGTATTATTTTCCTTTAAAATGTGATTAAAGTCATTTCAGATGGCACAGACTCACCCGAGGGCCATGCTCTCCTTACACACCTCCAGTCCCCTCAGCGTGCCTGTGTGACCCCTACAACACTGGCAGGAAAGTTGTCTTCCCTCTGTGACTTGGGAAAATCACTGCATTAACAGAAATGCTACCTACGGGGCAGGTGGGAGGTGCTGTCCAAGGGTCCAAGGTGTAGCGGGGCCGGGGAATGACATGCATGTCAGGTGCCAGATACATCAGTCAGCATGATTCTACATTCCACACCGAGTACAGACATGGTGCCTTCATGTTATGCCCTGTGAATATGATTATAATTGTCAATTAAAAACTATTTTAAAAACTAAAGTCAAGAAGTGAAATGCCTGTGGAGTTAAAGTTTTAAATGTACCTGTTCCATGAGATTGGTTTAAATGAAGACTATGTAGTAAGCAAACATGACACTGTCCTGCATTGGAGCTTGTTGGAATGAAGGATGCTCCAACAGGGTGTGTGTACCTGAAATCTTGAATGTCTGGAGAGAAAAGTGATTTAATGGGGGACTAGCCAAACATTTCAGATAAGGATTTGTCTGCAGATATGCAGAACACCATCATGGCGTCCTCTCTTCCCTGTTGACTCTTCCAGCACCTACTGCCCTTCCCCAGGCCTTGATGCTGAGTACCATTAAAAGCCTAGAACCTGCTCTTAGCCAGTCCTGGAGCTGCGCATCCCTCTGTGGTAAACCGAGTCCAGAGTGTTGGAGTAGACAGGCTTGGAAATGCATCGACCAAGGAGAGGAACGTCAAGTGCTGTCACCTACTCTAGAGTCATAGGCAAGTTATCCAGCTTTTCTGTGCCTCAGTTTCCTTTTCTGTAAAACAGGAATAGTAATAGTGCCCATCTCAGAAGTCTGCATGAAAATTAAGTGAGGGTACATAGCATCTGTTTAGTAAATTCTTAAAACATATTGTTTTAGAATGATTAACTTTGTACCAATGACGCCTGAATGTCTATCTCTATCTAATTTTAACTATTATGAAAGATTTTTGTTTAAAAAGCAAAATGAGGCCCACAGTGCCAAGGAGCAGGGCCACCCCCAGCACCGAGGAGCTGAGCCAAGTGGGTGCCTGCAGCAACCCCACCACCACCACTGAAATGAGAAGACATGTAAACAAGTCTCAAAACCAGACTTCCAGATCACCTAAAAGCAACCCAAAGGGAAATGAGATGGAGCACTCTATGCTCAACAACCTGGACTCCCTGAATTGGCAACAAAAGAGGATCTGGAAAAAATGAAATCAGAAATAATTTCTCAGAAAACAGCAGAGATTGTGCCCATAGTGCAAGACATGATTAATAAATCTGGAGAGGAGACAGATAAAAAATAGAGGAGTTGAGGAACATGATGGGATGCCAACATAGGAAACAAATGGAATCCATAAAACAGATACAAACAGATTTGCAGGAGATTAAAAACTCCATTGAAAGTCTATGCAGCAGAATGAGGCAATGTGAGGACAGAATTTCAGATATAGAAGATAAGATTGCAATTAGTGAGGAGGAAAAGAAAAATTTCTTTAAAATAGTAAGGGAACATGAGAAATCAATCCAGCAGCTGCTAGATGATGCAAAGAAGAACAATGTAAGACTGATTAGAGTCTGAAGAAACAGGAGAGAGTGCAGATGACATAAAAAAACTTCGTAGAAGTATATATGAGAAGTTTTATATTTATAAATTACATATACATCAATCTGTATTAATTTACATAAAAGACACGAAATCTATAAATACAAAAGAGTGAGATGCAGTAAAAATATTTTAAAAACAAAATTTAACTTAATTTACCTATTAACAGTACACCAAACCTTTTTGTACTTGAACTTGAGATTTGTACCAATGCCTGCTCAGTGGGTTTTTAAATGCCTTGCAAATCAAATCAACATCATACTATCATTAGCTAACACCAGAAATGAAAATATACCTTTAGAATTGAATTCATTGATTATAATAACGATGTAGACCTATATTTCAATCTTTTTGGAAATTTTTATTCTTAATATTTTTGTCCTGTCTCTTAGTGAAACTGACAGGAGAGGAGCTCCTTCAACACTCTTTTGTTCTTAAAGATTCATTGTGACATTATGAATACTATCATCCATCCAGAGTCTATTTTCAGGACTTTTTTCAAGGTACCCTCCCACTAGTTAGTATCAATTTGGTTAAAAATAGATAGAAGCTACAAATCCACACAGTGAACCAAGGACAGTGGCAATGTGTCGTGCTGTTCAGAGAAGGACAGGTGTGCAAGGACGTGTTGCTAGCCCCACAGCAGGGAGAGCCAGCTGGAGCGTGAGCTGAGTCAGGGATCCTAATTGCTAACTTCCTGTAAAATGCAGCTTCCATTTTATTTTTAAAGGTATCATAGATATTACAAATAATAATCCTAATATTTTTCCTGTATCAAAAGCCAAACACAAGTCAATTTGAGGACCACTGTAGTAGATCCCTTTGTGTCCTCAGCAAAGCCTGGGCCAGCATGGGTCTCACCGAGGGGCACGGGGTGTCAGGAGATAATGCCTGCCCCTGCTGCAGCCAAGGAGCTCCTATTTCAATTATCTGTATTTCATACATTGAGGTTTCCGATACACTTTCATTTGAACAAAGGACCCATAGCTACAACATGCCTGAAACTCCCTTTGGAGAATCCTAGAAGGCCATGCCCAACGATTCTGACAAATAGGTTAAATTAAACACTGAACGGTAGAATTGCAAAGACAGCATTTTATATCAGAGAACTAAATATACCAATTATTTTCTGCGTTTTATGTGTATTTTACTTTTCTTACATGCAAAATCATAGCCATAGATCTAACCCGCCCCACCCCCCCAAAACAGTTTAATCACACAGGCTACAAAAGATTTGGGCATAAGTAAATGTTATCTAAATGCACTGGTAAAACTACATATTTTTCTTAATTGAGACATTTAGTAAATAGTTTTCAATATTTTAGAAACTGATCCTATTAGAGCCAAGCTTTAAAAAAGGATATGGCTCTTGGAGTATTTCAGTGAGTTTGATCTTCTTTTGCTTAGAGGTCTTGGAAATAACCTCTAGTTCATGCATTTTAAGATAGTATAAAATCAGTGGGCTCTGACCTCCAAAATTGAAGAGAACAGGGTAAAACTCTGGACCAATGCTACTACAGTGGGACTGAAGAAAAAGAAAAGAAATCAAGTCAATTATTTTGTATCTTTAAAGAACTGTAAATAAACTTTAATTGCAAGTATAAGTAAGGTTACTATTAAATGTATTTAAAATACGCAAGAGGCTATTCCACAGAGCATCTTCTTTTTATTGTTGTTAGTTATTTTCTTCCTTTTATGTTTCATTTTTTTATTAGTGCATATGGTTATAGAGATCCATGGATTATATAATTATCTTGCCTGTCTAGAGATTTTTGTGACCCTTTTCTTGCTTCTGCCTTAAGCTGTGGGGGACAGCCTTATTGATTATGCTCAAAGCAGGCTGTAAGTAGTGCAGGCTGTAAAGAGTTAACCCCTAAATTGGCTCATTTTAAGAAGCGGTCTGACTGAAGCTTACATGACTCAAAGAAGCACCTCACAAGCACTGAGGTAGTGTAAAGTTAGCATGGCCTTCCCACTAACGGCCACAGCAGAGACCAGAGAAATGGCCTGTGAAGCCGTGGGGCTCAATCTGAGATAACACAGCAGCCAAGGTCAGAGTAACACGCACCCAAATCCCGTTCCCACAACTAAAACCTTCTTAACTAGAAGGACGAGGTTCTAATGACAACCCTAAATTTTGTCTGTTCTGTTCCTAATTTGAGAATGCTTTGTCTTTTCCTTTACAAGCTTCACCTGCATTAGTATCCATAGCAACTGCATGACGGCACATCCTCACACATAGTTCCCCTTTACCCCAATTTGATTACCAATAACAATCAGCGGCTTGGACTGATCAGGGCCTTTGGTGGTTGCTCAGCACTGACCCTCCTGGCGCCCCACTTTTTTCTTTAATTCTGTCTTTGAGTCTTTCTTCAACCCAACGTTGTACACTGGGCAGGAGACTGGAACCTACTGCAGATGTCTCTGGTATTAAGCAGTGTAAGATAAACATTCTATCTTACTAAAATTCTAGAAATAGGCATTTCTGTTACTTTTCTGCAGGTGTCAGTTATTAGAGAAATCACAGTTCATGGGTCCTTTCTCTATGAGGACCATGATTTTTAAGTTTCATTCAACAAGGCAAGAGTAGAACTAAGTATTAAATGCAAATGCAGTCATTTTTAAAAATGCTTTAATGCAGTCTCACATCGCTCGGCGAGTGCCTTGTTAGAGTCCCTCCTTTTCTAGAAAGCCAAACCAATGAACAGAAACCCCAAATGCTTCCATTCATCCCACCAAAGATAAAGGCAGAATTTGTTAGAGCACTTTAAGATTTTATGAACAAGACTTTTACAGTCAAGAGTTAACAGCAGTAAATTTGAAGAACGAAGCAATCTGGTAAATGTTGAAAGGATCACAAGGGATGACCTCGAAAGTCCAAAGTGTGGCCTTGGTGTCTAATATACCTGTTAGTTTATTCAAGGGTAATTGCTGACATTGACTAAAAGCCAAAGTTTGATTTTTGAGGTTTGAATGATTGCTCTTCAATGTGCACATGATAGAGACCCACAGGCACCCACTCAACAATGCAGACAACTTTGGTGCTTGGAAAATTCTTCTTTATGTTGAGCTGAAATCTGTCTCCCTACAGCTTCCCATTATTGGTAAAAGTACTTTTTTGTAAGCACACAGAAAGGGTTGGATTCTGATTTCCTACTGTAGCTCTAAGTATTTGAGTTAAGTATGGTTTCCAGAGTGTTTTCATTACTAACAGAAATAGCTTTGAATATTTGACCTATTGTGTAAGCAGTATGGTCTCAGATCCCTTTGTCATCTTATTTTCTGTTGAAAACACTTCTGTTTTTCTACAGTGCTTTTCCAAAGTAAGTTTCGAAAAACTGGACATAATATACCAATTACTGTCTAATCAGCATAGACTGGATCCTGCATGTGACAGACTAAATATCTGTGCTTCCCCATTCATATGTGGAAGCCCTCACAGTAAGGGAGATGGTTTTGGAGGGGGGCCTTTGGAGCTGATGAGGGCCTCCAGGATGGGACTGTGTCTTAAGATGCTGGAGCTCTTTATCTCTGCCACGTGAGATCATAACTAAAAAGAGGCCATGTGTGAGCCAGGAAGAGAGCCTGCCCCAGGACACCAAATGGGCAGCCCTCTGTTACAGACTTTGTATACCCTCTAGTACTGGACAAATAAAGTCCTGTCGCCCAAGCTCTCTAGTCTACGGTACTTTTTGTGGCACCCTGAGGGGTGTAATCCACTGGGGCCCAAGATTTAGAAGTGTGGTGTGCTACTCAGGGGGCAGCTTTGCTCGGCTTCCTACTTAAACGATGTCCTCTGCAAACTTGTTTAGTCAGCTGCACAGTCATCTGTCCCTATTTCTTAGCGCTTCCTGAAGATTAGACACACGTTTGTGTCACATTTCCCAATAACTAAATCTAGCAATCTTATTCCAAAAGAAAATTGTGTGATGTTGTCATCTATCCAAAATTGATAGATCGCCAGTTTCTATCATAAGTACTTGAAAACACCTTTGCCTGCATTGTGGAAGATGGATAAGGAGGTAGAGATTTTATAAAACTGGATTGATAAAGTCCAGAAAATACATGACTAATGTTCAGAAAGTGGACTCTATATAGGCATAATTTTTCATTTTAAAAAATAGACCTAACTAGATAAATTTGATTACACTTTATCAAGAAAGACTGTAACAGACTCAAAACCTAATTATCTGACAAAGTTGAGAGATCAAATTCAGCATTTCAAGCCAATAACCTCAATAACTCTTGCTGCCTGAGGGACCTGCACTGGCAAAGCACCTTGAAGAATGTGAGGAAACGAAGCCTTGGAGAGGCGAGAGTAACAGTGTCCATTATTCCAGAATCATGGCTTAAAAATGAGGACAGCTTAACCATTGTCGATAATCTCTAAAATTGTCTCTCCAACTTTAACGCTTGCTAAGGTCACAGCCGTGGGAATGCACTGGAAGAAGCCTGTGTATGTTCACCCAAGGAGAAGCAATGTTGTGAGGGAAAGAGAAATGCTATGATTTTTCTTCATTAGAGACGGGGATATTTCAGGGGAAAATAAGACTGTAATATTAAGATAAGGCCCTCCAGATAAGTCTCTTTTGATCATTAAATTTTCTCTAAAATGTATGTTAAGGATGTGATAGACAATATCGCCTCTGTGAAGGTGGCCAATTCCAAGTATGTGGCAAGGTAAACGAGAGCTTTTTTTCTAATTCTTACTATACTCCATACCTTTGCTGTTAGTATCGATAAGCCTGAGTCTTCCTTAAATGTGGACATTGATGCGCTCTTGGATTCTTTAAAATTTTTGTCATGCTGAAGTCAATACCTAAAACAGAAAATAAAATACATTAACACATTCTGGTGTGTTTTTCCTTTACAAAAAGTCATGATACTCTTTTTTTTCCTGTCTTCCAATGCAAACGAAACGTGGAGATAGAGTCAAACACAGGTGAGATGATTATAAGATTGTTACAGGTTGCCTCAAGCAGAGGAAATGGATATTTTGTTTCACATTTTTATTAAATAAGGCTTTAGAGTTTATAGAATCCATTCATTTACATTATCTCATGCCATCCCCACAAAACCATCCTGTGAGCTATGTAACATTTCCCGCAACTGAAGCCGTTTGTTCAGCAGTGGAGGGAGTAGATAAGTTCTTCGACGCTAGTTCACAGTAATGAGCCTGGATGCCTGCACGTCAGAGCCCCTTTCCTGTACTGTAACAACACACCCAGGAAAGGACAGACTTGGTGATCTTTCCTTCCAACCTGCATGAATATGGAGGGCCCTGAGGGAATCTCACCAAGTTTTAGAAGGCAAGAGTTGTATGATTTAATCATCCGTGTCAATCGACCTAAAGGTACAAGGTAGGTATTAAGTGTATCTTGACACAGAGGGAGAAGGGTGACGGCAGGGGCTCTAGACTCTGGTCCTGACCCTCCGCTACCAGGGAGACCACTCAGATCTAGCTGGACAATGGTGATGACAAGCCTCTCAAGAGTTGAGGAAAGTCACTTGAGCCGACTTTTGACATTATATATTGAGAAATATTAGACACTAGCCTGAAGTATTAGAGGCAGATTAAAGGACTGGTTAGCAAAGAAATTACATTATAAATTTTGAGTAGAAACAATAAGCTGGAATTAGAACAGAAAAAAGATGATAAATCATATATTTTAAAAAGTTTTGCTCAATTTTGAATCATTCTTCAATATAAATTTATGTGATATTAATTTCCGGTCTTCTAGAAATAAGTATAATTTTAATACTAAAAGAACCTCTAAATCATGCCCACTATGCCCACAATAAAACGTTTACTTTTCAGACCATCTGAACTTGGTTTCAGAATTACTGTCAACAGAAAATAGTATACATTAATGTCAGGGGAAGAACCTAAGCTGAGAATAACTGGCAACAAGAAATAAGAGTGAGGCAACAAGCCAAGAAATTCAGAGGAAAAGAACCACAGCAAAAATGGCCAACTCCTCCTATGGAATCCCAAACCTCACCTAGATACAGGCGTGATCAGTGACATTAACGTGACTGTATTACTCCCTTCCCCTCTAATCCACTGGTTCACTTTAGGGAAGACACTACAATTTTCCTGTGTTCTCTGTTCTCACCATCTGGAAGGCTTGGGAGATGAGCCAGGGAACCACAAATGACTCTAATAAAGCTTACTGAAACTCATTCTTCACTATTTCTTATTAAGTCTTTGCAAATTTCACAGTGAAAAGAAAATTCAAGTGTTATTCTATCTACACTGGGAAAGTTTCATTTAAATAAACTTATTCTGTCTATTTCAGGAATTTTATTTCCTTTAAAAAAGAGACATTTACACAGGTAAGTATGGTTGGCTCCATCTACTCTTACAGGTTTTAATAGTTTTTCTGAAATGCAAATACGTCACACAGCATCTCTTGACAAAATAAGCCAAGGTCAAATATGTCATATATAGTAATACAACAAGTGAATATAGGATTACTCATAGATCTACTTTAGAATATACCTAATTGGAATAAAAACTACTTTCAGAAAGAGACTTTCATTTTGCATTGAAATGCAAGGGGAAATAAAGGAAAGAGAAAACTCAGGAGGCCATTAAGCAAGATGTATCCAATCAGAGCAAATGAGAAATAAAGCATGAATGCAATTTTCTCTCAGCAATACAAGAAAATGATGAGCATTTCAAAGAAAGTTTTGCAAGCTGAAGAGTATATTCTTACCTTCTTACTCTATGAATTTTCTTATGTTTCCCTGACTTTTTCCCATAGACTTATTATAACCTGTACTTCCCCAAACCCTCCAGTGTTACCCTCTGCAGGCCTGGTCATGGGCTTGTGCACATGCTAGGCCCCAGTGGGCTAACATGTCTCTATAGCTACAGTAGCTCTGTATGCAACTGTTACTTTAAACAGGCAGAATGATATGCTAGGGACTCACAGTGCTGTAAAGTAAAATTAAACTGCTGCTCCCAGTGATGTGATGTTAACATGAAATGGAACTGTGAGTAACTTTCAACAGAGGTTATAAATAAAGGCAAGGGCTTTGTTAACTATGGCAGGCATGTGTATATAAGGTGTCACTGACCTCGTTGGCTTTCACCAGCTCTTAACTGAATTTAGTATATCCAGCAACATGAAGCTCCTATGTTATGAAAACAGTGACCTGAATCATATTTGCTTCCCAGGAGAAGTGCCATTTTATTTTATTTTGACAGTTTGGGCAGGTTTCTTTTTTCTGTCATTTCTAACAGAATGAATTATATATGAATCCTGAAGGACTAACTCTTTGTTCAGATAAGTAATAGATACAAGAAACAATTAATTAGCTTTCAGAGTATTTCTAGAGTTTTTATGTAAAGAACAAAGCAACAAGGACCTGAATAAGAAACTGGATATTTATGAATAAGACTGGAACCAAACATTATAAATGTGCCATAAAACAGCTTAAGATTTGATCAAAGGTGATGGTGAGGAAAATTATTGATCCTTTTACGGTAATTCCTGTTGAATGGAAAACTTAAAAAAAAACCCACAAAGTGGATTCTGAAGCAAAAACAGGAACATACGTCTAACATACGATTTTAAGAATCAAAGTTGTTTCTTTTTCAAGGAAATTAATGGATAAGACTCTGATGTGTACTCTGGAATACAAGTTTCTTTTTCAAAGGAAGAAAGGTTTATTTTGGCTTATGTGGCATACAAATTTCTGATAACTTTAAGATCATACCATTATGCTAGTAAAATTTTCCAGATAAAAATTATTATATCCTAATAAAAAAAAGCAACTGATAGCTTCATGAAACTGCTAACTAAGATCAAACAGAATGTGAATTATTTACACAGGACTAAATGAAATGATGAGGATAAAGTTCTTAATTTGAAATTTTGTTGGTTCTTAATGTTTTAATTTTCAGATCTAAAATTTTCTCAATAGCTTACATCAGTTTAGTAAATTGTACTTTTGTAAACAGAATCGAAATACTTTCTCTCCTTACCTTGTCAGTCAGGATTAGGAAGCCATCAATAAATATTCTTATTTTATGGCAATACGCTTGTTTCCCTATGTTCTGTAAGAATCTGTTTTCTTTGTAGCTGGACAAAATCAGAAAGACTAGGTATATTGCCAGGCTCTGATTGAACTGTTACGTTTTCAGATATGAGCAGTCAGCTTTGCCTTTGATTCGGTGCTGGGAATTGAACCTAGGGCCTTATGCATGCTAGGCAAGTGCTCCACCACCAAGCTAGCTCTCTAGACCCTGACCAGGCAGCTTTAAAGAACTAAGATTGACTCTATGGAGCTCGTAAAACTGGCCTGGCACCTTAAATACTTGTTTCCCATGCAAGTCTCCTAGCCTTGTGGTAGGTAAAGGCTGTCACTTCTTGATTGCCTCAGTAAGCTCAAAATGTTTGGGGGACTTCAATCTGAGTCAAGCTGCAAGTTTCCAAGCTGATGTTTCCAATTTTCTCTCACCTTTCCAACTTGGATTAAAACAAAAATTGTAATATAGAAATTCTTTTTTTTTTTGGTACCGGGGATCGAACTCGGTTCTTTGCGCTTGCACAGCAGGCAACGAAACTACTGAGCTAAATCCCCGGCCCCCAAAATTGTATTTTTCATGAAATGCTGCAAGCTGAAGCTGCATGACTTGATGAAGAGTTTGGAGAAATCACATCGCAGCTGCTGTGGGGACAACACTGTGCCTATTCTTGTGTGGACTTCTCAGAGAAGCTCAGCAGACATCTGATGAAAATACAAGACGGGGAAATCTGTCAGACTGCCACTGCCTGGTCCCATTCCAAATGAGGATGCTTTGAACCCAACATCAAGAAATCTTCTCAGCTGGCTGTTTCTGAGAAACTTCCATACTGTTCCAAAATGGTTGTCCTAATTTACATCCCACCAACATGTGTGAGAGTTTCTTTTTTTCCATATCCTCACCAACACTTTTTATTTATTTTTATAACAGCAATTCTAACTGTGATGAGAACGTATCTCAATGTAGTTTTGATCTGCATTTCCCTGATGGCTAATGATATTGGGTACTTTTTTTAATATGAGAATTCTTTACTGAATATTAAACTATTTAAAACACCACTATTTGAAGAGGCTACAACAATTATAGCATTCAGAAATTTTAGATGTAACTCTTAAAAGGTAAAATATTGTAAATTTTCAGTCATCTTCTACAAAGTTTAGCATCAAGAAGATAACTTCTGTAGAAACTATCGGTTGATTCAGACTCTGTTCCTGCTGGTATTACATAGAGCATCCACAATAGTTCTGTTGTACTCTGAAATCTGCTTGGTCACATTTTTAATGATTTGCTGGTAATCACTTTCCTGACTCTTTGTTGCTATGAATTCTTTCATCACAAAATTATTTTGCTCACGGTGTTGCCACTTTGTCTCCAAATTTGTAGCTGAGAATGCGTCTCATTTTCTTGTAATTGTGTTTTCAGTGTCTCATATTCTCTGGTTAGCTTCTCTGTTATTTTTTTAAAGGCATTTTTATGGGTTGATAATACTGTTCTCTCCTGATGCAATTTCTTTCTCTTTTCTTCACCTGATAATTTTAAAGTTGGGAAATCATTATATGTCTCCAGATCCACTGTCATTTGCTTAATTTTGCTTTTTAGAGAATGTTATTCCTCTATTATCTTACTTTCCAGGAGCTCCATTTTCTGTAGATCTAACTGTAGACTTGACTGTCTGAAGTCAAATTCCTAGCTGCCCTTTGTGATTTCTGCATTTCAGTAGATTTAAAATTGAGGTCATCCTGCATCATCTTTAGTTCCAGGTTGGTGAAAGAAGATATCTGTTT